TTGTAATGACAGGATTTACACAATTGTGAAGAACCTCAACAAACAGCTATTTTAACAAACATTGCGTAAAGAACAAGATTAAAGAAACAATTTTTCTTGAATTTATGGTTCATCAATTTTAATTAGAAAAATTTGTTAAATTCTTTTCTTAAATTATTTTAATTTTGAGTGAGTTAATGTTCAACTATGTTTTATGAATTATTTTTCATTTCAAGTGGTGTGTACACACTGATGCATTTATTATCAAGGAAAGGTAAAAAATATTAAACCTTGAATGATTATCAAATATCTATACAAGTAAAAATTAGTGAATTTCTCTCACAACAACAAACTCAAAAACTCATTCCTCAAATAAAAAATAGACGAGTGAGATTTGTCATCAAAGTTATGAGGCAAAGACTATTTTGTGAAATAACTCCCGAATTAAAATAAGACACTCAGTTTTTCTTCGTCACAGAGCACGAGTGCCTCTGACGAATATTTTTATTCCGCGCTCAAAAGAGTCCCAGAACGTTTCTGTTTTTTTTGCGGCCATCAAATTTCACGAGTCGAATTGAAGAATGCTCAAAGGTAGGTCGTGTAATGTGGCACAAAGGGAATTTCGTCGAGTTTCGTCTCGCGTTGTATACATTACGTATTGTATCAGCGTGCCGTAACAGGATAGTGTACGTATGTCGCGGGTAGATATACCAGGGTGAAGAGCTCGACACCGCATTCCCTAAGGGAGCCGGTTGTAATTAGTAATTTGTAGTTGAAACGGCTTCATTCACCGAGCCGCATAACAGTTATTTCGACACGCGTCGTCGTCTCTGACGCGATCCTTTGTGAAAGGATCTCGTGCTCCGTTAAGTCGCAAAATGCATTTACACCACGTTCCACGGTGCCAGCCACTCAATTTCCGAATGTCTGTCAGGGCGACCCATTTTTTTTTTGCTCGGGCTCTAATTTTCGAGCTTCTTCCAGGCGAGAACGCGTGACACCTCATCGAGCTGTGTCGAGAGTTTTACGACAATGACATTCCAAACTGTTTTCCACCTTTTCAAACGACAAAAATTGGGACAGCTTATGATATCATCAAGTTTTCGCATCTTTGGAAATGCTTTTGAAAATTTCGAGATATCAAGTTTCTTTCTCAAAATTAGTTTGCTGTTTTATATCAAGTTCATAAGTTATATTCGATGTTTATAATTCTTAGAATACATTTATTATATAATAAGTATAACAATATTTGACATTTCATGTGGAGTGCAAAAACAGGGTCTATAACTTGCATATAATATAAGTTCATTATAATTGCAATTTTTTAAATAATAAAAATAAGCATACCTACTGACTGAAATTAGAACCCTGTTCCCACTACAAATTTTACAAAATGAAGAACATGATGAACATCATGTAATCCAACAAAATGATACAATTTACTAAACAATTTATTAAACCACGTGAAGGTTCTAACAAGTAAACATGTCATGTCACATAATAAAGTTCTGACATATGTCACGCTATAAGATCCAGTAAGAAAATCGGTTAGGTGGGTGTGCATTGACAGTTTCTAAATCGCGATCGACTTGAGCTGATAATCCATGCTCGTTGGATAACGATAACTCGATGATCTTGATCCAATATCGTGTACACATTCCTCTTTCAAGCCCTCTCTGTTCAGCAACGGTCCGTTTCTATCCAGTAGCCTTTTTCTTTCCGTCGTCCCGTAAATAAGGCGAAAGCCGAGGACTATCTGACTTTTATTCGATTTAGAGGCGAGTCGGCGAGCTTAACCGGTAAAGAAGCTCGAGTGGAGCCGAGGAAGCGCACACTGTGGAACGTGACGGCGAGCTTTCGACCCTTGCCGTACATTTTTCGACGGCTCGTGTCCCGTTCACCCCTTTTCATCCGACCCTCTCGAACGCCCCTCGGGACACGGATTCCGTTTCGTTTTTACCGGTTATCGAGTTGACGGCCGACGACGATTGGACGAGCTGTTGTCGGCTCGATTGCCGTTCCCTCGTAACGAGCGAAAGGACCGTGTTATGATACTCGCCGAGCCTCTATGCAATTTCATATCAGTTTCTGCGCTTCGTACTTGTCGAGCTTTTATTAGAAACTCTATTTTATTACACTTTCACGGACAAGACGTTGACAATCTTTGATTCGCGGCAATTCGTATTTACTCGGACCGAAAATATATACTCAGTTTACTCGAAATAGTCTTACTTTAATCAAAATGAAAATATTTTTGTACACAAAATTGGTCGAATAAATTTTTTGTTACAATTATTATTGTTTAGGTTAGATCAAAACTCAAGAACTTACTTGAATTTGAAGTCATGAAGAGTTGAGAGAAAATCTTATATCGACCAATAATATGACGTCAAAAATTTTACCGTAGAAATACCAGATTTTCGAACAAAATAAAAATGTTCATGAATATTTATATTTAAAGTTGAACTTATACTGTTATTTTTGGTAAACATTAATCTTCAAGTCTATGCACTATAAGAGTTATTTCTAGATACTGTTATGTCAATCGTCTTCAAAATGAATCATGCAACATTGAATGTTTGGGATCAAACAGAGCATCAAACGAAACACCTGTGTTTTCAACGCGGTTTTTCACAAAGAATCCCCTAATTATGAAAGAGATCAGAGTTGAAAAGCGTCGTTAATACATTCGAACCTCCGTAAAATTGATTACCGGCAAATTAATCGGGGTTGGAGACCGGTATCGAAGGAGGAACGTGCCTCGACGTCGAGTAAATACGCGGCAACAATCGAAACCGCCGCCGCGGTTACGATTCCCGGATAATTTACACGGGAATCCGTGTAGCCCGGGCGCACGAAATCGTCGAACTTCTGGAAAAGCGTTTATTAGCTCAAGGAGTAAGGTAAACGCCTCAGGTGGTAAGTTTAAGTGACTCAGCCCGTATGGAATATTTACACACGTTACACGTTTCTCGCGTGTTCCACACGGAAACCGAGCGTAGGAGGCCTGAGTTATGGCGGCCTCGCATTGTGTCTGTTCCGTCGGCATTATCACGAAGTGCCGTTTGCAAGTCTTCCGTGTATTTGTGCAACGCCCAGGCCAAGAGTCCCGTGGAAACAATTAATCTAACCCTCTGATTACTCTTCCGACTACCACTGCAACGTCTACCCCCAAACCCCCCCGGTCCAACGTGGCATCCTGGCACCCGACGACTTCAGACGTCAAAACTCGAGATATTAATATGTTCGTCGGGATGGCACAACGAAGACTGACTCTCTACGCTGCTCTCTCCACAGACTTACGAATACCTTCTGCTGATTAAATTATTATTGCAACGACCTTTTCTGTTTTCTGCCGGATAGGAATCTCTGGCTTTGTCGTCGCGGAAATTTGTTCTGGAATTTTATTCTGGTGAGGGAGATTTCATTTGGAACTTTTTAGATTGGTCTTTGAAAAGGGGTTGAATTTTAGAAAACATCGGTGTGGTTCAGTTATTTGATCGGAGAACTTTTTTTGGGATAATTGATGAAGTGATGTGATGAAGACTTTCTTTATGAACTTATGACTGCCTAGGAAATTTGTAGATGCTTTTGTCATTGCAGAAATTTGATTGGAAATTTGATTGTAGAACAAGTAGAATTTGTTTTGGAATTTTTAAGGTGGATTTTGGAAAGCGTTGATGAGTTACAAAATTATGCAATGTTGGGAACAAAAGAGTTAAGAAGATGGGAAATTAAGAAATTGAGGAACAAAGAAATTAAGAAGTTAAGAAACTGAGAGATGAAGAAATTATGAATGTAAGAAACTGAGAAATAAAAAAATTGTGAAACTAAGAAATTATGGAAGTACAAAATTCAGAGATTAAGAAATTTGCAAACTTAAAGAGTATTAAACCCATCACTACCAAATTGTCAAGTTCTCATATCAAATTTAAAAATTTCCAAATCTAGAAACTTATGATTCTCCAAACATAAAATATTAATTAAATTTAGAAATTTATATAAATTCAATTCCATATTTCCACAAATTAGTAAATTTTACCCTCAAAATGTTCCATTAACGCAACCGAGCAAAACGTAACTCAAAGAAGAATATAAAATTCGAAAGGTACAATAAAAATTGAAATTGCAAAAAGCACAAATTAAGAAGTGAACTTTGTAGCCAATTTAATAACGAAACTTTTGAATTTATTTTCAAAGTTATTCCCCTGCGCACTCGACAAAAAGCTTGCCAAATAGAACGCTTGCGCATGAAATTTAACGATGTTTCTCGTTCGCATTTGTCGTAAAACTACATTATGTTTGACGTGAATATGAAAACGGCCTAGACGTTACGTAATTACGTAATTAAAGAGGGGTAGGACATGAAAGTGCGCTCATTAATTAGACCGTGAAACGGAACGTAAGCGAGAACAGGATAATTGTAATGTTTCATATGTAAATGACGGCACAAAGGTTCGAAGATGAGATTATTGATAACGAAACAGATTATGAGGTACGTTTGATATGTTTGCAAACGCGTCGAACTGTGCTCGTTATTTCGACCTGGACGCAATAATTATGAATCCAAGCTTATCATAATTATTTCGTGTTGCGCTCTAAATAACTGCTAACGGACTGTTACGAAACATTTGATCATCGACTAATCAATAGATCCATCATTTTTATTATACTCATGCGTTGTTACGACGAAATTCATTATTTTGAGGGATTTTAATATTTGACATACAAAATTAAATTTAATACTTACTATACAAAATTAAATTTAATACTTACTATACAAAATTAAATTTAATATCTAATACACATAATTAAAATTAAACAAATTTTTTAAAATATTTAATACTTTTTTTTGTTTCGATATTAATATTGTTAGATATAACCTACTTCCGTTGTTATGACTGAAACGGATTGAAGAACGTGTAAAAAATTTGAGATATAATAAATTATGTGTCATGTGTGTTTTTTATGTATTAAGGTGAGTATTAAGGGTAGTATAATAATATTGGAAGGTCACTTACCGACGACATGCAGATAGCCATATTGTGTTTTCGCAGTCACCGTGTTAATCTGGCACATGTACCTTCCCTCATCGTCCTGCTGAACATCTTTGATATGTAGGAACCAGGTCCTATGCTTATCATGCGACACGGATATCCTGGGGTTCCTGGTAATAACGTGATGTTGTACTGTCAGGATAGCGCTCTTCTCGAAAAGCATCCAGGCCACCTGAAACGAAACGAGAATCTCGTTACACCATAAACACGATTTACGGCCTTGCCTCGATTACCATAAAATCGTAATTCCCGTCGATACGTCGCTAATGGCATCAAGATTATTTCACAAAGCGTCCCCGTTTACCGAATTACGTTAACTCCCCTTCAACTACCATACTTCAATATCTCCATATTTTTATTTGTCAAACATAGAATATCAAAGGATAACGAGAACTTTTATTCTTAACTCGTTTATTATTTTATTTTGAACGAAACTGTGGAGTCTAAATTTGGTCAATTTAAACATGATAGGTCTGTCAATATTATAGTAGAACATTATTAACAAATTACTAATAATAATATACTTTAACATAATTCTTTAATGATACTATATTAATGACAATTTAATATAATCAAATGACATTTTTCGAGGAGAATTATACGTTCAGTTAGAAGTTCTCTACAAAATGGCGGCGTGTCATGAATAAGTGAGCGCATCGCTTGAGGAGTTCCCGTAAGATGAAAGCGATGTGTGTAATAAACACGAAGGAACTTTCAGATTTTTCAAACATGAAAGCATAAAAAATATTGTTACTCAACCCCTTAACTATTTTATATCCGAGTGCTGTAACATTAAGACCGACAAAGAATATTCGAATGTAAGAGACATTTTGCATATGGTACTTAAAATTAAACTCGACATTCAAAATCTGAAATTTGTCATTTCGATATAGGGTTAAATAATTTTGGCAGGAGAAATTCTTGATAAGAAATAAAGGTTCACTGTACCAATATCTCGATACAGTACTCCCGTATTCTGAGCTGCACCACTTATCAACGACGACCAGAATTTATCGACAAGACAATGGGACACGTAATGGCAATCCACATATTTGCAGACTGAGAATCGTGTTTGTCCGTTCGTCGAGTATAGCAGAAAACTTTCCCAGTAAAATAACGTCCATATACGTATAGACATCGTCACGCTCCTGTTCCCTCGAATATATCCGTAAGGAGTCTGGCCGCAATTCCCTGGACGATTCATTCTACCAATGAATATCCATAACCATAGTGGATTCGTAGATCACTGGCTCTCTCGAAAGCATCGTAGATCATCCGTCTCGAGCGGAATTCCATGTTTGATTCTGGTCCTCAACGACGATTTGTCCGGTTCAGCACGATTAGATTCTCCATTTAAGCACGTACATCTCGTTTTCTCTCTCTGCGTACCTATCTTTCTCTTGCCATTGTTCGTTTCTTCGGTAATAGAGAGGGATAAGGGACATTTTTATTTTTAGATGTTCAAAAAACTTTTGGGAATTTTCTATTAAATGTGCTGTGTGAATTTTCAGAACGATCATATTTAGTGTGTGATCATATTTTGATATATAAATTGCTTGTTAATACATGAGACGTGTCACATTAACCTCAAGATCAAGTACCTTCAGAATTTCAATTTTCAAGGTATTTTAAATTTAACAATTAGTAAATCTGAAAATTTACAAACTCAAAAATTCAATCATTCAAAAATTGCCCTAAATCTTGCAAGAATAGAAAAGTTAAAAAATTTTCAAATTTTTAATATTTAACTGACTAGAAATATTTAATTTAAAGATTAAAAAGCTTGAAAGTACAGAAAATTGGTATTATACGAAAAATAGTAGTTTCATTGTTAACATTGGTCGTCTGTTTTCGCATCAGTCGCATCGGATAAGAGGAATACAATGAACATCAGATTATGTCGCGTTAAATGGGACGTTAAACAGTTGTTTCAGCCATGTTCGTCTTTCTTTCGTGTTTTATTTTCCTCGTAAACATTGGCTGGTTAACGTGGAGGAGAGTTATCGCGAGGTTGCTGCAACTCGCCAGCGTATCGGCGCGTTCTTTCGCAGTAAAAAGGTGTGACTATGTTGAAGCAAGGGTGCTGGAAGTTAACAACCCTGTGTATACTAGCGGAACGGCCCTTCTTATTTCTCCGGAGACGTTTCTCCGACGACGGATTTTTCTTTTCCCTGATCGACGACCTTCTCCATTATCGTTTCTCGTACGTTTCTTAGTTCTCTTTTAGACGTTCATTATGCGCATTTCAAATTCAACGGGTTGCAGTGTAATTTATTTAGAATTATATTGTTTTAGTTTCTCTTTAGTTTAGAAAGTTTAGGAAGTTGTAGATCTTTATGTTTCTATTTTTTTCTAAAGTGAAATTTTCTAATTTTTCAGTTTTCTAATTCTTTAATTTTCTAGTTTTCGGGTTATTTAATTTTTCACTTTTTGAATTTTTCGATTTTTCAATTTTTCAATTTTTCGATTTTTCAATTTTTCAATTTTTCAGTTTTTCAATTTTTCAATTTTTCAATTTTTCAATTCTTCAAATTTTCAATTCATGAATTTTCTATTTTTCCAATTTTCCAATTTTCCCATTTTCTAATTTTTTAATCTTCTAACTTTCTAATTTCTTAGTCTTATAATTTTGCAATTTTCCACTTTACTACTTTCTCACTATTCCTCTTTCCAAATTTTTCCATTTTCCATTTATTCCATATTCTAACTTCCTAACATTCTAACTTTCAGATTTCATATTTTCCTAATTCTCTAATTTCCTTATTTGAAAAATGTCCAACTGTCCAACGTCCTGAAATAACGTTCGTCAAGATAAAGAATCGCAAATTTAGATAAAGAAAACTGATAAATAAGGGATGATACGTAAAGTAGCTTATCGTATTAGCTTACATAATCTTGTACAATAAATCACAAGATAATATTATAATATATGTAGGATGGGAGCAAGAAGATGAGAAACGGATTAAAGTTATAGTAAATAATTTAATAAACTGAAAGGAATACAAAATTTGATAGTTCACGTTTCTACGGTTCGGCCAAGACTAGACTGTCTTTTCGACGCTGTCGCGTTTTTTTATACTACGCATTCACACTCTTTTGTTTCACACTCGTACATCACACACACTCATACCACGCAAAAATTAATTCCCCTTTACCGAATCCCACACTCGGCCGTTCCTGACCTATCTTCGGTCCCCGATGATAAATCTAAATACGGTTTCATATAATCTGAGGCGGTACTAGTTATTTTTGGTCCTTCATCGTCCCCTATTCGAATAACTTCGTATCTATTATTTCGTTTTACGCGCGATACCCGATACGGTCCTAGAAATTTCTTTTTAATTTTCAAGCCCGGTCCAAACTGAGTGCGCTTGATCACTACAAGATCCCCTTCTTTATACTCTCTGGCTTTCGTACATGTTTTATTGTGATTTCGCACGTTTTCCTCTTGAATCTTTATGATATTTTGTTTTGCTAATTGTCTTAATTGGTCTCGTTCTTCGTTATACAATTCTATTGCTTCTTGCTGGATCAGTCTCTGAACTTCTAAATCTTGTGTATGCCGCATCCTCGTACCGATCAGTACTTCAAATGGAGTCATGCCTACGCTGCGTTGATATGTACTGTTTATCGCTTGTTGTACTTTTCTGACGTGTTTGTACCATTTTTCCGGGGCTTCTATCGAAAGTTTTGTTAATATCGGTATAATAATTCGGTTTATACGCTCCACCTGTCCGTTACCTCTGGGTACGCCGACTGTTGTGAGAATATGTTCGATTCCTTCTGAGTCACAATAGTTCTTGAATTCTTTTGCCGTAAACGCAGTACCTCGATCGGATATTAGGCGTTGTGGGCTCCCAAAAGTTTGCTGTTGTATAGTTAATTTCTCGATGACTTCTTTGGCGTCGGTGCTCTTCGTGGTGTACAGCCATACAAACTTGGAAAAATCGTCGACTACCACAAATAAGTATTTATATAATTTATTTGTTGCGGTCATTGGTCCTAAATGGTCTATATGGTACGTCGTCAATGGTTTTTCTCCCTTAGGTATGGGCGTCAATTCCCCTTCCTTCTTCCCTTTTTTCTTTTCAGCTAACACGCATGGTATACAGCAATTTATAAAATTCTGTAGCTTTTCCTCTAATTGAGATATGTAATAATCTTTTTTTAACTCTTCAGCCATCTTCCTAACACCGAAGTGTCCGTTATCATGAACTTTTCTGATTATCTCCTAATACAATAGAAATATATATAGTAATATAAATATGGTATTATACAATAAGCTCCTTTAGATCTCACCCCCTATTCCTCTACACCCATCATGATTTAACGAATGACAAACATCAGTAACTCTACCGTCAAATTAGATTTACGATCACACAATAAGTTCCCTATTTTTCCCATATCAGTTTCGATTCAGAAACAAGCGATCAAACTTCCATAACTCCCGCGTTAATACCATTAAATTTACGATACCATAAATCTATGTAAGCAAGTACTCTCGGTCTCTCAAAAAGCGGAAACTTTTGTTCCAGCCGTTCCCCTAATTTTCCCGAGGTAGAATTACCAACTCTTTTCTTGCGGCAGCTATTACGAAACACGGTGGCACATCCACAATTTCCTGCAGCAGCGTGTCCCAGAAACTCGACCCGAATTTTTACTGCGTTCCAAAAAGAAACAAACCGCCGGTCGAGCCACACCCCGCGATCAGCGTGGCTCGGATGCAGCCCCCATTGTCATAAGTCTCGGCGACCATAACCATCCGAAGCGTCGCCACCGACTCGTGACAGTTTTCCTATTCCAACGTTCGAATTTTCACCTCGATTTATCCGGCTCGACTGTCACCGTAACAACGTGTACGTCTCCGGCGCGACCAGACGCCGGGCGTCGAAGTTTATCGGCGCGGTTCGTTTTGCCCGAAAAATCTGCCCCCGCTCGTGCCCCGACGTAGACGTACTACCGGCGTTTGTCTCGAACCACGCTGGATTCTGATCGATTGCATCCATCGCCGGTTAGCGTCGGAAAGAAGCGACGAGCGTGAAGCGTATTTTAGCGTCGCGAAGCCGTGGCGCGACCGGAAAATGAGATTCTTGCCAGAAAATATGAGCTACGCCCGGAAGAAACTGCTCCTTTCGGAGATTATGAGACTTTTCTTGCTACTTGCTCCTGTAC